TTTCTTTCTTCAAGGAGAAAGTGGAGAATTTTTTGCCAGTTTGTGTCAAGGAGAATAGTCACAGAACCGCAGAATAGTCAGAGTTGGAAGGGACCCACAAAGGTCATAGAGTCCAACTCTTGGCCCTGTGCCTGAAAGTCTGTGAGCACATTTTGCAGAAAGGGAGGAGTATGCATTATAGCAACACACCTTATCATAGGGTGTTCTACTGAAGAAATTTTGGGAGAATTTTTTGCCAGTTTGTGTCAAGGAGAATAGTCACAGAACCGCAGAATAGTCAGAGTTGGAAGGGACCCACAAAGGTCATAGAGTCCAACTCTTGGCCCTGTGCCTGAAAGTCTGTGAGCACATTTTGCAGAAAGGGAGGAGTATGCATTATAGCAACACACCTTATCATAGGGTGTTCTACTGAAGAAATTTTGGCTCTTCTCTTGAACCTTTAGGCCATATAATGTGTTTTGATTGCCATACATGCTGAAAGAACATGCTGATTAAGCTTTTAAGGGTAATGGTGTTTCTAATGTCAGTAAAATACTCAGTTGCCAGTATCTGTACAAAAATAAATTTTGTTACTTATACATAGCTTTACAGTCATTGAAGCTGTGTAATTGTTTCATAATCATATATATTTAATTTCAGGAAGCAGAAAAAAGACAACGAGAACGAGAAGCAGCTCAACAGTTGTACAAGCAAAAGAAAATGGAAGCTTATAAAATATTGAGTAAGAAGACAAAGAAAGGACAGCCAAATCTGAACTTACAAGTAGAGTTTCTTCTTCAGAAAATACAGCAAAATACATAAACCTCTGCATATATTTGAGTAACTGGTGGACATTTGATTAAATTACTTTTAAGAAATAATGTCTTTTTACTTTTATATTACTTTTGTTATTGGCTTGATTTCTCATCAGTCCAGTATTGATATATTCATCCTGAAATGCATATTCTATGCTGAGAGTGAGAGAGATCTGGTACCTTGAAAACAAATGACCTGTATTTCTAAACTCAGATTCTATGAGCTATGTCATATCCTGAATTCAGTAGGGCCTAGTACCATCTGAACATGAATCTAACACTTCCTTCAATTGTTATGACTAAAATTAGACTTGAAAGGAGTATGATACATGCAACATAGTTGATATCTCATGAACTGCCAAGGATAGGGGTGTGTTTTGTGTGCTGATGGATAGGGTTTGGCACATGAAAACAAAGAACATACACACATGGATATCTATTCTTTATCATTCTCCACAAAGAATAAAACTTACCAAAGGTCCTAAAATGGTTTGAATGTAAAGATTGACATGTAGATTGACATGTACTTTGTGCTTGGTGATAGTTCAACAGTAATGATTTGCTAGAAAGTAAGTTATTTTCTTTTTTCTATTTTGTGGTTTCTCTTTTTCCTTTTTTTTTCTTCTGTGATATAATGAAGTATGAGGACTTAAAGTGCCAATGGCAGATGGAAAGTACCTACAGCTGCTGATGTGTCACTTTAATCTAAAAGTCAAAGATATCCTGTCATAAACAGAAAAATTCTCCTCCTGTTTAACACTTAAAAGAATTAGAATTTTACTGTAATACATAGTATGTTTTCGGTCAATGCCCAACACAATCAGTTACACACATGGCTTAGATTGCTTTAAGAAGACCAAGGCAATGAAATGTGTACAGTAGCAAGATAATGCTAGATTAATAAAAGTTGTTAATGTTTATGTTCAATTTATTTTGTTGTCCAGTTAAGTTAGACCAAATATTGTGTAAAATAGTGTAAAATAACTAAATACACTTTTTTTCAAAATAAAATCCTAACTTGAATACTTAACGGCAAATTTTTTGATTCATTCTTAGTTTCAAGGGCCAGTTGTAGTTTTGTATGTAAAAGTATGCACCATAGTAGTCAGGCTGGTGTTGTTAAGTGCTTGTTTCCCCAAGAGCCACATACGCTAATTGAGTGTTTATATTAAACAGTCTTCAGGCTGATGTAATTTATGTTTCCTACCTACACCAGTTTTGGGTTTCTCCCTGATGACAGGACTGCTGTATTTTTGTTGAGAACTTTCCAAGGAGTAATGGAAGAATCTGCCCTCCACAGATGGCCGTTTCATTGGCAGGAAATTCATCTGGTCTCAGCATGTAGGATTTACTCTGCACATATGAATTCTGCATTTGGTGTGCACACAGTGTGTCTGATCTGGCCCAGACTCACCAGATTTATGGCAGGAGGCTTTACAGCTGATCTGCACAGATAGTATTTGAAGCTTCTAGAAATTTTACTGTATGTTTACACACATGGCACAAAAATAGCTTAGTCTGCATTCCTGAGTGTTGGCAACACAACATTCAAGTCTATATCCACGCTACTGGGTATTCAGCAGTTATGTTAAAACATTAGGTCATCAAACAACATTGTTAGACAAAAAAAGCCCACTAACACCAAACATTTCATAACCCTATCTGTTAACAAAGCCGAACTTAATTTTCATAAATGCAGTTCCTTTGTTTTCAGTCTTCTACACCAAGTCATCAAAGCCAGGCAATGTCAAAACAGACATTACTTAAAGGTCCCTTAGACCTACCTGGACTTTAGTAAAGCTTTTGACACTGTCTCTCACAGAGTTCTGGAAAAACTGCATGCCCATGGTTTGGACAGGTGCACTGTTCACTGGGTAAAAAACTGGCTGGATGGCTGGGCACAAAGAATGATGGTGAATGGAGTACGATCTGGCTGCCAGGCGGTCATGAGTGGTGTTCCCCAGGGCTTAGTTTTGGGGCCAGTACCGTTCAGCGATGATCTGGACAAGGGGATAAAGTGCACCCTTAGTCAGTTTGCAGATGGCACTAAGCTGGTCATGAGTGTTGATCTGCTGGAGGGTAGGAAGGTTCTGCAGAGGGAGAGGTACGAGGTTCAGTAAGGCAAAGTGCAGGGTCCTGCACTTGGGTCACAACAACCTCATGGAGAGCTCTAGGCTCAGGGTAGAGTGGCTGGAAAGCTTCCTGGTAGAAAAGAACCAGGGGTGTTGGTCAGCAGCCAGCTAAACATGAGCCAGCAGTGTGCCCAGGTGGCCAAGAAGGCCAGTGGCATCTTGACTTGTATTATAAACAGCGTGGACAGCAGGACTAGGGCAGTGGTCATCTCCCTGTGTTCTGCACTGCTGAGCCCGCACCTTGAGTACTGTTTGCAGTTCTGGGCTCCTCACTTCAAGAAGCACATTGAGGTCCTGGAGCCTATCCAGAGAAGGGCAATGAAGCTGCTGAAGGGTCTGGAGCACAAGCCTTATGCAGAACTGCTTTGAGAGCTGGAGTAGTTTATGCAGGAGAAAAGAGAGGCTGAGCCAGGTGAGGGGCAATCTCTCCTCCCAAGGTACAAGTGACAGGACAATAGGAAATGGCCTCAAGCTGCACCAGGGAAGGTTTAGATTGGATATTAGGAAAAAATTGTTCACCAAAAGGAATTTTTCATGAAAGTTTTAAGGTGCAAGTCAATTCTGAACATTGTTCATACCTTCAAACTTCACAACTGATGAAATCCTAAGGATTTTTGACTAGAAGATGGACCTACATTTAATTCTCTGTGTATGATGAAAATGAAGATTATTTGCCAACTTGCTTGGTTCTGAAAGGTACAGGTATTTTACAAAAGTAATATATAGTCACAACTTGCCCAGTAGCACCTATAATTTTTCAATATTTTTAACTTTCTGAAGATTCTTATGTTGTATTGTAAAGTCTTCTACAACAAGTCATCACCTTCCCTGGATTTGGATTTGCAAACCAAAAACTTGGGTATGGTGAATTTTGGATGTTTACTATTTAAGGAAAATCTTGTAACAGAGAAGCAAAAAAAAAGGGAAAAAAAAGGAATCAGAAGTGAGCTTAACCTGAAACTATAATATATAGGCAAGACTGTGATAGGGTTTTTTTTATTTTCTCAGAATTTCATTTGGAAAATGTTAAATCAAGCTACATCAGACCTTTAGTAGCTGTAAAAAAAGCCACAATCCACAAAACAAAACAACAAAAAAACCCCAAAAGCAGGAATAGCTAGAAGCATCTCTGCCTGTCAGTTTGCATTAGGTGTCTCTCAAAATGGTGTAGTCTCCTAAAAAATTATGAACTTCGTACAGAAATGATTCTTTAACCTGTAGTAGAAGAAATATAAGAACAGATGATTAGTGTATGACTTGTTTGCAGTTTGAATGACTATCTAATACATTTGGGCTATTGTTCCTACTCTACCAAAATCTAATTTGTACTGACAGATTCACAGTTTTGCATCTCTTAACAGTTGCAGATTAATTACAGGATGAAAAGCTTTTCATTATCCTTTAATTTCATTGTCTTTTAGTTTCAATTCTATAGTAATATTAATAAATCATACACAGTTCTTTGCAGAGTGTAGCAGGAATATTGTATGTGAAAGAAGTGGGTTTGGTATTAGATATAACAAAGACCCTATCATTAAAATGATGGGGGATGAGAGAAATGTATTTTTTACTTATTTAACAGGCACGGAGAAGAGATCTTGTTCTTCCTGGATTTGAACAAAAGTGTTTTCCTAAACTGTTTTCTTCTTCGATATATTAAATGTGCACATCCTCATAAGCTTGTATTTTTTAGCAGATAGTGACACATCACAGTAAAATTGAGGCTCTGACAGAAAAGAAAGAAGTGGAAAGCACAGACAGTTGCAGAACTGGTAACAACTGCATGTTTCCTAAAGGAAAAATATTCATCATATATGGACCACCATTTAACAAAACCGGTGCATATATATATGAAATAACTCATGTAATTAAATAGAGAATTTCTCATCTAAAGAACTTATTATAAGCTTTTTAGGGGATATATCCAGGACAGTTCTTTCAGTTTAAAGCAGGGATGCCATTGCAAGTAGCTAAATAATCTCAAGGGGGGGAGAAAAAGAAAATACTTTCTCTTGGTTTAAGGATGGAAAATTAGTACTAAAAAGCAAAGGGTTACTTATAAGCAAAAGTTGGTTTGTAATCTGTTTAGTATTTATTTTAAAACTATAATTTTAGATTTTTAGATTTAAAAAAACCCACAACCCACTCTGAAATTTAAGTTTTTGCCTGATGCCAACTGGATTTGGTTCTTTCCCAATTACAGTTTCTATAGCAATAGCAAAAGATTTTAAAACATCTCACATTTGTGGTTACCTAGCTGCAGAAGGTACTATCAAATGCCTGTCTACATTTCAGCTGAGCCACTCCAAGGAAAAGATCAAAAGAAATAATTTGCAATATCCATACTTCCACTGGTACTGCATATGGCATGCACTTTTCAGGGGCTCTTTTTGTTCTTGGTCAAGAACACTGGGTGGAGGCATGGAGCTGCATTTCATCAGGAGACAGCAATTCGTATAGTAATAACTGTAAGATCAAACCCTGGTTGCCCTGTTTAATGAAGTCTTTTAAGACTTGCTTGTTATTTGAAGTCGAGACTATCTTCCTTAAAACATACTGATTATAATTTGAAAGTATTTCTGCATTAGGGAATCAATGAAAAACTTTTGTGAACTGCTCAGGTGTATCCCTTATTTTATGTTGTCCAGTTAAAATTTCGGCCATATCCTGCCAGTTACACAAACAATACTGCAACAGTTGCATGTGTATTTGTCCTTCCTAAACTACATAGAGGGAAACTGACGTTTTGCAGTATAGAGTCTATTTTAGTAATTTTTTTGGGTCTTCTGAGATCTAATTGACAGTTTATCAACATTTTTCTCTTAACAGGGGCACCAAAGCTGAGCAACGTTAACTGTTCCACAAGCCATTGTAGGTTGCACACCACCTTGTTTTCTACAATCTTATACACTTACCTAATGCTAGCTAAATAAGAGACTTGGCCACAGTACCTCAATTTTTCATCTGAACTTGCTGCTTGGCTAATAGTATCAGTGAACGGCCCTTCTTGCAACAGAAATTGATCACAACTCCACAGCTTCCCTGGGCTCAGCTTTCTCTCGTATGTGCTGCCAGCTGTGG